CTTCACTACCTAACATTTCATGGAAGGCTCTTCGATCAGGAAATCCAAGTTGTGTGATGATGGAATGATGTTATGGTAGTCTGTGGATGTACGGATTATTCTGGATTATGATACAACAGGGATGTTGTTGTTTGATAATTTAATGCCAGCACCAGATGCCTAGATCTGGGGCCAAGAGGTCAAAGTGGAGAGATCCCCCTCATTGTTATACCAAATGTTCAAACAGCCTAAGACTGAGGGATGTACTGCCTTGGCTGGTTTCGAAGGAAATACGGCATCCTTCTGTGAGTACAATTCTGACTTCTCACTAGATGCTGAAACAATCTGGCCATTTGGCATCCTTGTGCCAGTCAACCAGAAAGCATTGGAGAAGCTGACTGACTGACTGATGGGATCCCAGGAGGATCCTAGGACAATGGCATATTGCTACCTGAAGGATTGTTTGAGACTGGAGGCACGTTCTTAGGGATTTTCTATGGGACCAGTTCACAGGTAACCAAACTCTCTCTCTCTCTCTCTCTCTCTCTCTCTCTCTCTCTCTGTGTGTGTGTGTGTGTGTGTGTGTGTGTGTGTGACAATAGTGCAGAATTGTGAAAACGAAGGCTGTACATTTCCCCAGAGCAGGAACTAGTACAAATGAAAGTCTTGCTAAGAAAAAGATCAGGTAACAGGTAACAGAAGACAGAAACCATAAATGTCAGTTATGACCATGTGATGATCTGTGAAAACAAGAGAAGCACTGGCTGCAAAGCTGCTGCAGGAACTCGGCCATGAGCCTAGGACCTAGCAACTCAACCCCGCCAGGATTCTTCATGGTTCCTTTCTCCTCTAACTTCCTGTCTGGAGTTCTTGTCCTGACTTTTGATGGGAGATGTCATTCTGTAAATATGTTTCTCTTATTGGTTAATGAATAAAGCATTGTTGGCCAATAGGAAAGCAAGATATGCAGGACTAGGAGTCAAGGAGGTTTCAGGGAGAGGGAGGAGTTTTTCAAGATGTAGGACTAACAGGTTAGAATGCTGGCCACTCTCTCCTGTAAGATAAGACCACGTGGAAATACTTAGATTGGTAGAAATGGGTTAATATTTAAGACAGAGCTAGCCAACAAGAAGTGCTAGTAACAGACCAACAGCTTTATATCTAATACTGAGTCTCTGTGTGTTATTTGGGACTGGCACAGCTGTGGGACCAGGCTGGCGGGAAAACTGCTTTCCTATAGAATAGATTACAACCTGGAAATATAAGCTCAATACACCCCTTCTTCCCAAAGTTGCTGTTGGTGATGGTGTTATAGAAATAGGAAACAAAATAGAACAGAGATTGGTACCAGGTTGCTATAATGAATCTTGCCATATTGTTTTGTTGGCGGGTTCTCTAAGTGTTTAGAACTTTCCAGAGAAAAGCCATTGAGTGTTCCCAGCTTAATGAAGTATTGTGAGAGTTAACAATAGAAGAATTCTGAGAGCAGGCAGACAATGGAGGCCTAGCTTTTGAGATTACAGAGGGAAGCAGAGACACTACTGGGTCCATTCCTGGGATATTTTGATTTTTTTAAAAAAAGAAATCTCTGATTGGTGGTAAGATAATACAGAAGAATCAGCTGTGATTAATAAGAGGTCAGCACCAGTGAGTGAAATCTTCTCTGTTCCACTTCAACAATAGGAAAGTACTTTTCCTGGGCTGAGTGCACAGACTCTGCTGGCCAAGGCTGCCAAAACTGCCAGTCATGCTGGCAGCTCAACTTGGGAGTGTAGAAGAGCCTTCCACATGGTGCTGGTTTTAATAGCATGAAATTCGCAAGACTTAAGGGACCATGGAGAGAAGACGAGACTTCGCCCATGTGGCAGGATTGGAGTCCACATGGAGAGGCCAGGAGATGCCTAAGTGCAGATGTAGCCTCCGTTTCAGCGGAGCCCCCCCCCCAGGATACCGGGGATGTGACAATGAGATGACTTCCAATGGCACAGGCTGGAGCCAGTCTAAGCTTGCAATGCAGGCTGCATGTATGTGTGCTGTGGGTTTCAGAGCTGGAGAAGGAAGCTGCCCAAGCACTCAGTAGCTCAGAGGATGATCAGTGAGTCCCAGACGTCAGATACTGAATTGAAGAATTTGGACTTTCACTGTCGGGCTTTGATTTTGCTTGGATCTGACTAGTTATGCCTCCAATTTCCCTTTTAAAAATGAAAGGGTGTAAGTTGTTTCTCTTTATAGGCATCCCCACAGTTAAGCAAATTTGGTTTCTTAAAGAAACAGTTGACTTTAAGAAGTTGAACTGTTACATATAATAACAACACGGGATATTTTGTACAGAGAATGAACAGTTAGAGCCTAGCGTAGTTTGTTTGTGTGTCGAGTTGACAGGGAGTAGGGTATCCTAACTAGCTTTGATTGACAACTTGACACAAGCCTACAGTTATTGGTAGGAAAGCCTTGACTGAGGAAACGGCCTAGGAACATGTCTGTGAGGGATTTTCTTGATTATTGACTCATTCAGGAGGGTCCAGACGTGGGACCCCATCTCTAGTCCGGTGGTCCTGGGCTATATGAGAGAGATAGCTAAATAAACCTGTGGATGGAAAACATCAAAGTCCTTTCTCCATTGTTACTGCCTCCCAGTTCCTATCTTGAGTCCTTGCCTTGTCAAGGACGGGGGCCAGGGAGTGTAGACCAAATGAACCAACCCTTCCTTTCCCAAAGTTTGTGGTTATGGTGATTGTAAGAGCATCACCAAATTCTCCACCCCACATCAGCCACTTGATTCAAGGACTGAGACTGTAAGAATTCTGATGTTATATGAATAGCACGGATAATCTGCCATCATCTGATGGCCTGACTTACCTTGATGCTGTGGCTTCTGATCCACCTGTGCCAGGATCATTTCTTAATTTTTTTCTGCATAGTTGTGGAGATAACTTCCGTGGCCATGACGACTGGATTAAGAAATATCCTACAGCAGGGACTAGAGATATGGCCCAGTTGTTAAGAGCACTCAGTATTAGTCACGTCTCCTTTGCTAAAACATCACGGCCAAGACAACTTATAGAAGAAAGGTTGCAGACGGGCGATTGGACCTGTTGGCAGAGCAGCAGGAAGCTGGGGTGGCAGCCAAGATTTCAAACCTTCAAAATGCAAACAAGAAGCAACCCAGGAGCACATGTGAATTTTAAACCCCAGAGCCCAGTGACAAACTTCCTCCAGTAAGGCCACATCTTATAATGCTCCCCAGACAATTACCATCTTGTTACCAAGTATTCTAATGGCCAAATCTTATGGGAGGCATCCCATTGAAACTACCACCATCTCGTAGAGATCCCAAGTTTGGTTCCTACTACCCACGGCAGTGTAACTCACCACTACCTGTAACTCTAGCTCTAGGAGTGCTGATGTCCTCTTTGGCCTCCTTGGGCAACCCACACATAAATAAAAATAAATCTTAAGAAACACCCAGAGCAGTAATGAGGCACACCCTTAGTTGTGGCTATGGTGGTGTCCCATAGGAGATGCACTGATAGAGGAAGCTCTTCCCTGGATGTGGTTGGCACTTTGGGATCCCGAAGTGAATAAACAAGAGAAAAGGAGAAACTGGTTGAGTTTCAGTGGTACCCTTTCTCTGCCTCCTGTTGCCGTATCTTCCTCACTATTGTGGACTGTATCTCCTCCAACCAGGCCCTTAAGTTGTTGCACGTCAGGTGTTTGGTTACAGGGATGCCAAAAGTAATTAATGCAGTGGCCTCTTTGATGCCACTCAGATCTGCTAGTGCCCCTTTCATGGATGCTGGTGCTGCTCCCTTCCTCTCCCCTCCCCCCTCTCTTCCCGTTTACCCCTCCCCTCCCCCTCACTCTTCCTATTTCTTCCCCTCTGCTCCTCTCTCCTCACTCTCCCTTTTCCTCCCCACTCTCTCTTTCTGACAGAGAGATCTTTCCGTAATTATCCCTATTCTTGAATCTTCTCATTCATAGGGTAACACAGAGGGAGCTTCCCTTCCAAAGGTGGACCTAAACACCTCCTACAAAGCTCCGTTTCCCAAAGCTTCCATCATTTTCCTATTCCACCACCCAAAGGACCAAGTTCTTTGTGCATGAACCTGTAAGGCAGCACATTCTAGCTGCGTCCAAACCTCTGCATTGAACCTCAGGAACCATTCGAACACCCGATGGTTTCCCAGTGAGCATTCACTGGAGAAGCGTTTGAGGAAGCCTGGTCGGATGCTGTGACATCAAGATCTCAGGGTACCGTCATCATTTTTCCTAGCATGAATGTGGAGCACTGACTTAATAGTTATTTAGTTTAGAAATAATAGTTATTTAGAAGAGATGGTAAACACATCAAAAAGAGAAGAGGGAAATAGACTAGGAAGAGTAATCTGGGGAAGAAGGTGAAGAAAGGAGAGAGGGAATGACCAAGCAAGGAAACACTGAGTGCCACTGTTACACAGCTGCCCTTGAGACCAACCTATGAAGCAAGCAGTACTGTTTGCCTAGCAGATGAAGTCACTCTGCCCTGAGGAGGGTAAGGACCAGCTGAAAGTCTTCATGCAGTGGCTCGGACTCAGCAGGAATACAAATACAGTGTCTAATGTCAACATCCATATTCTTGCCACTCCATCATGCTACTAGAGAAAGCAGATCCACGGGAAGAAAATGGAAACACTGTTTAAAATCATGTCAAAGCATTCTAGTTGGACTTGAGACTACAGTTTTAACGTCTGAGTTTGACCAATTTTCTCAAATCATTTTCCATATGACACAATCTAATGCATAACCAAGCAAAGCACTAAGTGATTTATTCTTAATGCTGAATGTCATAGTTCCATTACATTACTGCATGTTTTCAATAGCTAACCTTGATTGCAGATGAGTGATAAGTCATAGCACGTTTAAAGCATGCGATTTAATTTTGAACTCACTTAAAAATATTATTATGCAAAGTAGGAAATATAATATCAGATAAAACAATAATGAACTGTATTTGCCTCATGAATGATACACGTCCATTTTTTTACACCAAGAACATGGGATGACTGGGTCACAGTCAATGACAACACAGCCACATGCTTCAAATTAGTGGAGGCACGTCTGGGTTATCATCAAAGTCGGGGTCTTCCTCACTGGGTGCAGCTTGGAGTTGAGATTCCATTTTTTTAGGTTTGTGTTTTTTCTCTTGTACTATAGTAGTCACATCAGGGTAGGAATGCTTGCTGGGATCGACTTCTAGTCTTTCTGTCTGCTTTCTTCTACAACAGAAATAGTCAAGGGAGAATTAATATTAATGTTCATTCTTTAAAATTAAACTTCAAAGAAATGAAACTCATTTTACTTAGTGAATATTTGGCAAGTGGTGTCTATATGGCACAGGTCAGCAGTTCTCAACCTTCCTAACCCTACAAACCTTTAACACAGTCCTTCATGTTGTGGTGACCCCAACCATAAATTTATTTTCATTGTTACTTCATAACTGTAATTTTACTACTGTTATGAATCATAAGGTAAATATCTGACATGCCACCCCCATGAAAGGGTTGTTTGATCCCAAAAGGGATTAAAACTCACAGGTTGAGAACTGCTGCCATAGAGAGAGAAAGAAAAGATTTTCCTTTGCTTCATTGATTATAGAGAATTCTAGAAATAAGATTTTAACCCATGGAGAAATTATCAAGCAGAGCTGTACTGCTATCCTGGCCATAGGAGATGAGGAACTTGGAGAACTCTCTCTCCACAGATATTGAGATGATCCAACAAGCTGAGTGACAAAGGCAAGATCAACAGGGCACTAGCCGAGTTTAGTCCCAGACTGTGGCTGCCTGGGCCTGGCTTTAGACAAGTCCAGGTGCTTATATAACACAGCTCAGTCCAAAGCTTCTGCTCCCTGGAGCACCTACTCCAACTGCCCATGCCCAGTACTCATACAGGTGGGATGACCACAAAGGACCAGGAAGAAGCTCCATCGCCAAAGGGCCCTGGTGTTGTGCTCACAGAGGAACTGTGCCCATGGCGCACATTCCTACCCTGTTTTCACAGCAAGTCTTGTTTATCCCACATGGGCTCCAGACCAGTGATCTATGCCTCCCTAACTTTCCCAGTGACTTTTCTGGTACCCAGACACATTATTTGCAACCAGTGCCATCCATTCATCCATCCATCCATCCATCCATCTATCCATCCATCCATCCATCCATCCATCCATCCATCCACCAGACACATGTCCAGTACCTCTATATTCCCTGCACAACAGTAGAAACTCAGGACAGCCTGATCTGTATAAAATGACAGAATTCTAGTGATGACTCATAGTGCGGTTCAATGTACAAACATAGAATTTGTTACAACACTGTAGAATTCTATCATACTGTTCTGTTTATATAGAATGCTGGCATCTTTAAGGTGGAGATTTTGTGGTGTTTTTTTTTAACTTTTTATTTGACATACAGCTTATTGAATAAATGCTTATTCTATAAGTGAAAGGTCATTATCCTTCATTGGAGAGATAATGAATTCATGTGAGAAACTGTCTCTGCATTTTGTATGAGTTACAAAGTGATGTCCTCAGGTGAAATGCTCCCAGCAGATGCCGTCTGTTGAGAAGAGGAAAATCTGTTATCTTGGGGAAGTAGAAACTCTCTGTTTTTGAATCCCCCCCCCCCATTCCTGGCCTCTGCTCAGCCCTTCAAGGCATTTGAGTGAATTCCTCTCAGTGATCTGAGTAATGCACATGGACTTGTTGAGGGAGAATACTAAGAATAAAGAGACTATGAAATAGTACATTCTGTAGTCCGGCTTGATTGTTGTAAATGAACTCTGTGTGCTATAGGAAAAGAGGAGAGACCAGAATGAACTGTGCCCTTCCTGAAGAAGAAACTGAAGTGGAGTCAGATGATGAGGAAACCAGGGCTCAGACAAATAACCAGTGTAGATGGACAAGACATGGCACACTATCTCCTCTGATCTGATGATAGGTAAAAAGACCTGCAAGGCTAAGGGTTGGCTGTACTCCATCTCTCTATAGCAACATGAACTCTGAAAAGTAAGGATGCTTCCTGAGGCAGCATGGGAGTAGAATTTTGGCATGCTCTAGCCCCCAGTGAAAATCCCAAGCAACAAACCTCTAGATGAGCCTGCCTAATGCACCATGATGGTGTTTCTCTTGCTGCTGCAGAAATGAAGTGTCCTGTGTCGCTCTAGACGAGATGGCCCTTAAAAGCTGGCCCCTAGTTATCTTCAGACTTGCCCTGGGCTTGTGCTACTTGGTGGGGTTTGTTTTGTTTCTATAATAAATAATAGCCACAAGTGTGACTTGCTGAGTCCTGTATCCTAGCAAACTGCTGAGTCTGAAGTGCTCATGGAGATGCCAGACAATGTCCTCAGACACAGCTTTCGTTACTCCCATTGGATCCTCAGGTGCCCTCCACCGCCACCCCCTTCTGAAGCAGCAGGGGAGGAGGATGTCAATCAAAGCCTCAGAGATAAACAATCAAGGCTGGGGAGCTAGTCTGAGCTTATGGAGGTAGCACCACATAAATGACACTCAGAGAAAAGAAGGCGCCATATACAGCACGGGCAGTAGCTTTTCATCCTTGGCCTTGGATGCCCTCTTCCATCTCACTGGTTTGTTAGTCATCCCTGGTCATTGCTCACTAAGCTGTGTGCGATGGATTGAGGAGAGCACACACATGGATGCTGTCTGGACCAACTTAGTTTGCAGACATGAAAGAGAGGACAGAGCACCAGGAACTCCCCATGCAACCCATGCAGAAATGGGAGTAGAGGTCAAGGACATCACCGCAAGGGTGAGTCACCCATTGAGTTCCACGTGCTTCTCATTACACCTCTTTCAGGCGCCTTGTGCTGTGATGATCAGGGTTAGGAACTTACAGATAAAGTTTGACTTGTGCCTACAACCTAAGGAAGAAGGCACAGATAACACACACTCTTTTGCTGTGCTCCAGGCTCCTTGGCAAGATCTTCAGTATTGGCATTACGAATGCTGTCAAAATAGCAAGGAGTAAAGGACAGATGGGTGGACAGAGGGAGTTTTGGAGGGATGGGCACTGGGGCTTGGTGGACACAGGGAATTTTGGAGGGATGGGCATTGGTGCTTTGTGAAACTAAGGTTGCAGTTGGCACATGAAGTCATAGGTTTCACTGCGACATTTTCATGCATGTACATCATCATCATACTGTGTTATTTGACCCCTTCTTCCCTCCCCCATCCTTCTGAGGTCATCCCCGAATGTTGCCTTTAATAAGGGATGCAAGACTCCTTGGACTTAGTCATTCAGATTCATGTACTTACATAAAGACTGAAATGAACTTGAGCTCTGATTCTCTGTCTAGCCTCCTGATTGGTGATGTGACTGCTCCTGACACATGTGCCTCAGACACAAAGACAATGACCTGGGAGGGCCATTACCAGACTGACCTTCAACTTCCAAAATTGTGAGCTACATAAACTTCAAGTGTTTATAAGGTTATCCTGCTTTTAGTTTTTCAATGTGGTGTTTGAAAAAAGGGGGGATGTAATTTGCACATGAAACCAGACAAGTTGATTCTAAAATTAATATAGGCCTATAAAGACACAAAGATAGCCACACTCCTCTTCAAGAAGGTGGGATGACTTTTTGTGCAAGTTATAAAGACTTACTATTATAAAGCTATGGAAACTAAGGAAGAGGAACAGACACAATCCAGAAACAGGACCCAGGCCATCAGATTCAGATGCAGGACTCTTTGGCCTTGATGACCAACTTTTTAGAGACAGTGGAACTGGAAAAACTCATACCTTAAACAAAACTCAACTCCTGATAGAGAACACCTAAACATGAAAGGCAAGACTACAAAACCCTGGAATACAAGGGTAGGATAAGACTCCTAGACTAAGGAAAGGAAGCACCAACCATAAAAAAACATTCTTATTTCAACTCAGGATGTTACGTTCATTAGTGCAATAAGAAGAAGACTAATCCCGAAGGGTCAAAGTTCTGGATCCACCTCTCCCTCACTGTGTGATCTTGGGTGAATTGAACTTCTCTGCATCCCATTAAGAAAAGCTTATCTCATGCCATGCTATTTTGATGATGAAAGAGTTTGTTTTGTTGAGGGACTCGGCATCTGCATTCATAAATATTTTCACTTTTGAGGAGCCTGTACATTTTCTTTTGCATCGCAGTGTTAGGAGCCACATTTGTTCACCAGGTGTCCCCTCTAGCCATAATGGATAAACCATCCCTTCTTCTCCCTCTATCCACTCCATCCACACAGAGAAGAGCTCAGGTGTACACTCAAGTTTATCAGTGATGATGGAGTCCCACAAACAACCTCCACACAAGCCCTGCATGTGGGGTTGGGAGCTGAGCTTTCTCCACAGTGAAACCAAGAAAGAAACACTTTGTAGAGGTACTTTGCTGAGACTTCTCCAAGTGCCAACTCTAATAAGAGTAATGACAGCCTTCCTAGGGCCTGATAACCACCTCCAAACCACAGCTGTTTGCCTTCCTCTCCTGCAACCCCTTGAAAAACTGCAAATTAGCTCAGACTGTTTACATGGTTTGAGGATACTGGGGTTAAATCTGACTCTAATATTTGCATAAATCATGATACCTGAGGATCTTGAATCTGGAATAACATCCACTAGGTTGAGAAATGTGAATGGCTTTCCAAGGTTAAAAACAAAAAACCAGTTTTCGGTAGAAATTCAATTCCATACCTGTTGTTCAAGCAAATCCTGAGTTTAAAAAATCTCAAGATCTCATTGGCCACCTTTGACTGAGGCTTTAAGATGCAAAACACAAACATAGCACTTGTGCAGGTATTTTTTTTTTATGATGTAATCCAGCACACACATTTGTAGGACAGAGATAAATTTGCCTCAGTCCAAAATAGATTTTACCATCTGGATGTTAAGAGTCTGGAAGTCATGAGAAGTAGGTTAGCTGAAGAAACTGAGGTCTTATCCAAACCTGGGAACTAGGAGAGCTTTGTACAAAATAACTTTGGTGCTGGCATGTGTGTCCTGAAACTTTCCGGGAGACGGGCCAGGATCTCGAAGAAGAGGTTTCTAACACAGTGCAGGACTGGGGCTGGATGAATAGTTTCTTGAGAAACAGAGAGTTTTGCTGGGAAATGAATTGAGGCAGAGGCTGAAGATGACCTCTTGTTTGGATATTGAGAAGAGTGCAGTGATAGAGGCTCTTACAGCTAGGGAATCCGAAGGTCGGGTGACAAGAGAGGCAGACAGGGATGTATAAGAGCAATGTTACAAACATGAACTGTTTCAACAGGCTACGTGGTCTTTGGGACACACAAGCCCCCCTTGAGAAGTGGGGCTTGAACAGGTTAATGTGAGCACGAAGCAAGTGTTCAGGAAATGTCAGCAATCATCGAGGATGCTGTCAGCCTTACTACTTTTTCCACAAGCAGTTGGGGTTGGAGTTTTGAAGATCCACTGCCCTAAAAGCAAAGAGTCTAGGGAGCTGAAATAAACATGAATACACACGGTCTGAGCATTTTCAAACATTGAAGGTTTACAGTCATTCTAGCCAGCGTGCCATAACAAAGGGAACAGTATCTTATTGATAAGGACAATCCGGAACATGATACCTGTGGCTTGCTTGTTCTTTGCTGCTGTCCAGGACGCTTTTCACAGGCATGGGTGTTCGTTGACCTCCTGTGATCAATTCTCCTACCTAAAATAAAAATATGACATGTGTAGAGTGGTATGTTCTTCCTTGATGTATGAGTAATTCTTTTAAAACTATAAAGCGTCTCAATTTTTCTCTGTACAGATTCCATGCAAGAGTCTTAATTTAAGCCTCTTAAATGCAGTAGTCTTGCAAAGCCTCAAGCTATCGAAAGATTGCTAAAAACAAGCATGCAGACTTGGTGGATTAATTTATTTAACGAATGTATTTTATCTGAAAGCCAGCAACGTGCCAGCCACTTATGGGAAGTGTCGGGGTTGCTGATTTGAGAAGACTGCCTATGTACTGTTCCCAGTGAACATACTGCTGGAGAGCACCCTAGGCCAGAGCTCTTCCTACTCCCTCTTAGACCTCTTTCTTTAATTTTGAAATTAGGAGGGAAACAGACTGTGCTCTCAAAGGTCCTTTTGGGGTCTGAGAAGTCTGTAATTCTATTACTACCTATATGCTAGGTAAGGTCATTGCTAAGCATGTTGAGGGTGCAATAAACTAAGCTGACTAATTCCATTCAGCAAACAAAGACTATTCAAAGGCAAAGAGAGGTCATCGAATTTGTGCCCTCAATAAGTGTCCAAGTTCTCTCAGTGGGCTAGGAAGAGGGCCCGCTCCTCCATATCAAGTTCCAGCTGTGCAATAAGACTAACTTAGCCTTACTCTTTATGTTACACGCTTTGCTTATGACTCCCTCTGATGCCGGTAGCATTGCTGTGAGACAGGGATTAACTGTGGGAACACAAGGGCATCGTAAACCCTCACTTTGGACTGCTCGGGTTGGGTGACCAGCCCAGGGTCATCCGTCCTTTCCCTTCAAATGTCACAGAGGGTTACCATCCCTCACTCACCCTCATCATTTCCTTATCTTTGACAGAAGGAGACTCATTCCTGAACAGGGGGAACAGTCATTGTTCCGGAAGTTGACACGAACCTGCCATCTTTTCTTGTCCTACCCGAGATTTGGTGTGTTACGCAACTGTGACCCACGGTCCTACGATGGCTGAAGAAAAATTCTTAGGTTTGGACTTGGTGGGCTTGTCACTACCTGGGTCGCCTGCTGGCACAACCAAGCACCCTGGAGCCACATTTGCGTTTGGGAAGGGAGTTGGTTGCCTGGCTCAGCACCTATCTGGGTGCTAACAAGGTGCCAGCCACTTATGGGAAGTGTTGGTGGTGCTGATTTGTCCACCTGGATGCATAACCAAATTCATACACAGGAAGCTACTTTTTACCACTGGGCTGAGGAATTTGTTTTGCATGCACCACGGAGCTCACACAAGTGTGGTCAACCTCGGTTAAGCCTGCTGCGTCTCTGCTCAGCTGCCCTCCTCTCCCAGCCCTGGTGCCATCGCTCCCCTCTCAGGAGTTGAGTGGAGGCTTCATCTACATCTTAGAATCTGCTTTGGGGAGTACAGTGGCACCTTAGCATCTTTTTATTATTTAAATGCTTAAATCATTTTAAACAGCATCATTCATTGTAAGTTAGGATGCATTCAAATATCAGCCTTGTTGTGGAGGGAGTACAAACTTTATATCGCTTCCCACTGTAAACACACTAACAAGAGTGAGGACCTATGCATAATTAGAGTCTTAAAATGCCTACTTCTAACACTGCTGTTTGTCACATATTAGGCACAAAGACTCTCTACGTTTATGGAAATGCAAATAGAGTCACAAATTTGGAAGTTTTCTTCACAGGGAATTTGCTATGCAGCAGGATCTAAATGTGCTTCTTATTTTTAAAATATATTTTCGGCCCAGTTGGCTTCTGAGGTCCTTTTAAGTCAGAAAGTTACAGGGAATGGAAACATTGGCACTGAGGAAAAGTATGGACATTGACCTTCCCCCTAACGTGGGAGCCCATCATCCCCAACACCAGACATGGGGAGACCCTGTCTGATAAGACCCAACTTGGCTCAGAGTGCCAAGGTTCAGAAGCCATGCCATTCAGTCTCCCCAAGGCCATGTAGTCTGGGGCTGTGCCTCCTCTAGGCAACAGTGCTCATTTAAGCAGTGTCTTATACATTGTCCCACGTATGTTTTAGGGATGACTAATGGAAAAGTTGTAAGGACCAAAATATGTTCGATAAATTAGATAATGTGGGACTAACAGTTTCCTGAGCCCACAGAGAGAAATGTAATTAACTCCTCAAAAATCCAATTCTGGGGCAGGCACTGAGGTACAAATTAACATTTTAACGATGTTACATTGTTTTAACTCTTGGAGGCTTGCTCTGGGGAGCTTTACTGAGTTTGGATACAGTGACAGTGTTTTGCTTTTTGCTTAGCTAGTAGCCTGAATGGGGGTCTCATTACCTCCTGAGCCAGCAGCCTGCACTTGGATAGTCTAAATTATACTAATAAAATGTCCATGGTTGCTTCATTAATAGTAAATGGCACTCACTCTGAGATTCTGACTGCGGAGCAGCTGCAAAAGAGAGACTGAGCCCTTGATTCCCTTTTTTTTTTTTTTTTTTTTTTTTTTTTTTTTTTTCTTTTACAGTAAACCATAGTAACTGCCAATCTATGAATATTTCTGATGCTTAGGAGAGAGTAATTAAATATGATTCAAACCAATAGTTACTTATGTAAATCTAAGTAAATATGAGTGAACAGTCGCTGTTATAGTTGGGAACTTGCTTATAAATCCAAAGAAAAATGAAATGTAGTTAAAGATGTTTACTGAGAAAAGTACACCACACTCTATCTTTGAACACACTGATAGTAAACTCTGAGTCACCAAACAGGGTATCAGGGATTCAGGAAAGAGTTCATCGCACTCCCCCTTGGTCTCTGTAACCAAGTTCAAGCCCAGAGTTGAATTCTCTACTTCCTTTCCCCTGTGTTGTCCATCCTTCCTCACAAAGGGCGGGGGTGGGGGTGGGGTGGGGTGAGGGATACTTTACAGTTTTACTATCTGACCCCAATAACAAAAAGTACTGTAAATGCCATTGTTTATCAAGCAATATCCAAACGTCCTCTTCAACATTGGTGGTGGATATTTGTGTTATATGATTACTTCCAACCTCTATGTTGCTGTTTTCAGCAAATGATCTGCATAAGACGCCTGTATTACTCTCGGTCAAGAGCATAGGAGAGCATGGAAGAGCACATAATTCAGTGTTACATCTGTGCTTAGCTTAGGTTGTGAAGTTGACTATTTGGGGAAATCCAAGGCAAGCATGTTTGGCTATTATATTCTCTACAATGCAGGTTAAACACAGGCTGAGTGTACACAGTAACATTGCCACTTAAATCTTAGGTGACCTTAAGGTGTATTATTAACTCAGCAAAATGCCAGTCTCTTGGAAAGTAAGAGATATATTTATCATAATGCATGGCCACAGTTTTCTGTTTCTTATAGATTTCACCCTGCTTCTTAAATACAATATGCAGGAAAATCACAATAAACTCCTCAAGGGCACTTTGCTCCCTCCCCCAGCCAGTTTCAAATGTTACCTCTGTTCGGTTTGCTCAAGGAGACATTCACTGAGCACACACACTGGGCTAAGCACAGGACTGAGGTGGAGACTGAGATGGGAAGATGAAAAACAACCTATGTCATTTCACAAGGGAAAAAGACACAGCTACTGAGGTATCTGGAGGATGTAAGTGACAGACAGACGTTCAGCCAGGGTTCTGCGTAAGCCTATTAAAGGACACACTATTTCGTAATGGAAAGAACAAGTCTGAATGTTCCTGAAGACAGAAAGGAGAATGTTCTGGGGAGAGAAAGAAGCATCATCTAAGCCAGTGAACCATGTGGACACATAAAGTGCATGGGGCTGGGACCATCACACCTGGGGACAAGACTAAAGCCCTGGAAAGTGTGTGTGCTGCATACCTGGAGGGGATGGATGGATGTGTGCTTCATGTGTGCAGGGGAAATGCATGTGCTGCACTCCTGCAGGGGAAGAGTGTGTGCTGCATGCCTGGAGTGGAAGAGTGTGTGCTGCATGCCTGCAGGGGAAGAGAGTTGCTGCATGCCTGCAGGGGAAGAGTGTGTGCTGCGTGCCTGCAGGGGAAATGCATGTTCTGCATGCCTGGCACATGTTCAGACTTCTCCCATGAGCCCACAGGAGCTTTGTGCTGTTCTACTCATTTGTTCACGTCGGCTCAGGAGGAATGTTCCTCACTCACTCAGGAAGAGGGTGTGGTAGCAACCAGAACACCTGTAACCCTCCATAAATTTAACCTGCCCGAGAAGACAACAGTGTACATTAAAACCGCATTTCCTTACAGAGTTCACCCTCTCTCTGTTTCATCTTTTACGCCCATTAAAACTTCTTAATGCAATGTTAACTTACAGCCTTTCAAGGACTTGCTGGTGAGCATCTTTCTGTGTGTTGCCATGAGGGCAGAGGCCCCCACGCGCTAGACCAGTGTTCTGCTCTTCTCAGTTATCTCTTCCATCCGTGGTAGCTCTGCATGAGACGCTAACCCACCTGCCCTGTGTTTCTCGGATGTTTAGGCATTATTGCTGGAACAAAGTTCCACACCTCCTACTAGAGTCTGCAGACAGCAGCCTGAAGTCCAGTCTTTCGGCAAATGTTTTCTAGGTTTGGGGTTTGTCTTGGCTGATTGCACTGGGTGTTGTTGTTGGTGGTGGTGTGTACATAAAATTGTATCATTGATCTATTTTTCTGTGGAGTCCAAAAGTATGATTATGAAGTTACAGCATACATCTTAAGACTTGATACATGAGGACAGTTTTTGTTCCCAAAAAAGATTAGATCACTTCCTGTTTCCTCTAGAAATTTATGAGAGTACTCTTCCATTGTACTCTCGCTGGCACTGAATATTTAAAATGTTTCTGATAGAAAATTGGCAGCGCTGTTTGCTTCAGGGAGAGAAGGTTGCTGAGGAAGCAGGAAGATGACTTGCACTGTAGACTTCTTAATACTCAGGAAATTTATGCTATAGAACATGTTTATGTAAATAAGCATAGATCTTAAAGTTTGTAACCAGATGAATATGCACAGGACTTTATT